CGTGCGTGCGTGCGTGCGTGTCTGTAAGAAACACATGAGCTTAAATCTTACACCTGTATGTCCTCTGTGAAACGCGGTTGTCATGGTGATGCTTTTAAAAAGGAGCAGAGGTAGAGAGTCCCCCAGAAAAGTTTCATGACTTTGATTTGTGATCACGCCGTCATTTTCCACAAGTGAAGAAACGTTAAATTAACGTGTTTGAGTTTTCACCACTAGATGTCGCTGTTGTTTTCGCTGCAGGTGAACGTGTTGTTATCACTTTATCGCGATGATGCATCCCATTTAAAACACATTTTTTTACCTCTGCTTTTTGCCTTCTCCCCTCGTCACCTCCTTCTCTCCTCTCCTTGTCTCCTCCTCCCCTCTTGTCCTCCCGTCCTCGTCTCCTCCCCTCTGCTCTCCTCCTCTCTTCGTCTCATCCTCTCCTGTCCTCGTCTCCTCCCCTCCTGCTCTCCTCCTACCTTGCTTTCCTCCTTTCCTCCTCCCGTCCTCCCCTCCTCCCCTCCTGTCCTCGTCTCCTCCCCTCAGGTCTAAGGAGATGATTAAGGAGGCCATCTTGGATAACGACTTCATGAAGAACCTGGAGCTGTCTCAGATCCAGGAGATCGTGGACTGCATGTACCCGGTGGATTATGGGAAAGACGCCTGCATCATCGAGGAGGGCGACGTGGGCTCTCTGGTCTACGTGATGGAAGGTGAGCAGCGGCGGTGTTTTTACTTGTTGTGATAATGAGAAATGTTTTCATTCAGGATCACTTTGTCAAGAAAAAATACTTTGAAGCAATTACTTATATTTGACGGTAGTCAGGACCAGAGTGCTCTGAGACCAAGACCAAGACCAAGACCAAGGCCAAGACCAAGACCAAGGCAGGGCAAGACCAAGACAAGTCCAAGACCAAGGCAGGGCGAGACCAAGACCAAGACCAAGACAAGACCAAGACCAAGACCAAGGCAGGGCGAGACCAAGACAAGTCCAAGACCAAGGCAGGGCGAGACCAAGACCAAGACCAAGGCAGGGCGAGACCGAGACCGAGACCAAGGCAGGGCGAGACCAAGACAAGTCCAAGACCAAGGCAGGGCGAGACCGAGACCGAGACCGAGACAGACAAGACCAAGACCAAGACCAAGGCAGGGCGAGACAAGACCGAGACAAGACCAAGACCAAAGACCAGCTGATGAGAATTGCATGAGAACATTTCAGCTGTAACAGAAAAGTTTCTCGTCCCGTTTCCTCGAGCTCACTTTGACCTTCAGGACATTTTCGGTTCCAGGTCGTCTTCCAGACTCGGGGCAGGTCACATGATGCTCCTCTTTAAACAGTCACTCTTCATTTCACTTCCTAATGAGCGACTTCGTCCGCCGTCTTTCTCTGAGCGTCACTTTGCTCGCCCCTTCAGTTGAACTTTACTTTGGAAATGGTTACACTAAAAGATGTGTTTCTAAAAATATTATACATGAAGCCCCCGAAGCAACAGAAAGACCAACGCTTTGATGATTTAACATTCTCATGACCTTAAAAACAGGAAGTTCATTCAAATGAGGCACAAAGCAGCTTTTGTTCGGTGATTTAATAAAAAGTCTCTCAGAACCTTCATCTCATCCAGGATGTTAAAAAAACATCAAATCAGCTGCAGTTTGAGACTCTTTAACTGTTTTTAAAATACTTTTTAAAGCATCCTGTTACCACCATAGACACCCGTCTGTTCCTGCAGGGGGCGCTGGAGTCCCATCGATGGCGGTCTCCATGCTGGAAATGCTGTCTCAGTCTAACTTTCAGTCAACCTAACGACAGGCTGAGAGCTGGAGCTGAGGCGGGTTTTAAACCTCCTGACAAACCGTTACACCGCGCCCACCTGTCAATCAGGTCAGCTACACGCCTTATTGTGAATAACTCTTATCCTTCATCAAATCAAAACTGATGAGTCATCAAAACATTCACCCCCCGTACAGTGTGTGTCCATGGAGACATGAGCTCATCACACCTATTTGTTTTTTTGAACCAGGCTGTAAACATGTTCATCTCTGCTGTAAAAACAGGCTTTTTAGAATGGGTGTGTATGTGACTTCCTGTGCTTCTGCAGCCAGCCTCTAGTGGACACTCCAGGAACTGCAGGATGTTACACTTCAGCGTCTGCTTCATGTTTCAACCTCCAGGTTACCGCTTGGTTAACACCTTAAGGGAAACAAGATCACAGGAGAACTACAAGATCATGAGAGAACTACAAGATCACAGGAGAACTACAAGATCACAGGAGAACTACAAGATCACCGGAGAACTACAATATCACGGGAGAACTACAAGATCACGGGAGAACTACAAGATCACCAGAGAACTACAAGATCACAGAAGAACTACAAGATCACAGGAGAACTACAAGATCACCGGAGAACTACAAGATCACGAGAGAACTACAAGATCACAGGAGAACTACAAGCTTACAGGAGAACTACAAGATCATGAGAGAACTACAAGATCACAGGAGAACTACAAGATCACCGGAGAACTACAAGATCACGGGAGAACTACAAGATCACGGGAGAACTACAAGATCACAGGAGAACTACAAGATCATGAGAGAACTACAAGATCACGAGAGAACTACAAGATCACAGGAGAACTACAAGCTTACAGGAGAACTACAAGATCATGAGAGAACTACAAGATCACCGGAGAACTACAAGATCACAGGAGAACTACAAGATCACCAGAGAACTACAAGATCACAGAAGAACTACAAGATCACAGGAGAACTACAAGATCATGAGAGAACTACAAGATCACAGGAGAACTACAAGATCATGGGAGAACTACAAGATCACAAGAGAACTACAAGATCACAGGAAGAACTACAAGATCTCAGGAGAACTACAAGATCTCAGGAGAACTACAAGATCACAGGAGAACTACAAGATCACAGGAGAACTACAAGAGAACTGCAAGATCACAGGAGAACTACAAGATCACAAGAGAACTACAAGATCACAGGAAGAACTACAAGATCCCAGGAGAACTACAAGATCACAGGAGAACTACAAGAGCACAGGAAGAACTACAAGATCTCAGGAGAACTACAAGATCTCAGGAGAACGACAAGATCACGAGAGAACTACAAGATCACAGGAAAACTACAAGATCACAAGAGAACTACAAGACCACCAGAGAACTACAAGATCACCAGAGGACTACAAGATCACAGGAGAACTACAAGATCACAGGAGAAGTACAAGATCACAGGAAGAACTACAAGATCTCAGGAGAACTACAAGATCACAGGAGAACTACAAGATCACAAGAGAACTACAAGATCACAGGAAGAACTACAAGATCTCAGGAGAACTACAAGATCACAGGAAGAACTACAAGATCTCAGGAGAACTACAAGATCACAGGAGAACTACAAGATCACCAGAGAACTACAAGATCACAGGAGAACTACAAGATCACAAGAGAACTCCAAGATCTCAGGAGAACTACAAGATCACAGGAGAACTACAAGATCACAAGAGAACTACAAGATCACAGGAAGAACTACAAGATCTCAGGAGAACTACAAGATCACAGGAAGAACTACAAGATCTCAGGAGAACTACAAGATCTCAGGAGAACTACAAGATCACAGGAGAACTACAAGATCACAGGGAACTACAAGATCTCAGGAGAACTACAAGATCACAGGAGAACTACAAGATCACAGGAGAACTACAAGATCTCAGGAGAACTATAAGATCACGAGAGAACTACAAGATCTCAGGAGAACTACAAGATCACAGGAGAACTACAAGATGACAGGAAGAACTACAAGATCTCGGGAGAACTACAAGATCACAGAAGAACTACAAGATCACAGGAGAACTACAAGATCACCAGAGAACTACAAGATCACAGGAGAACTACAAGATCACCAGAGAACTACAAGATCACAGGAGAACTACAAGATCACAGGAGAACTACAAGATGACAGGAAGAACTACAAGATCTCGGGAGAACTACAAGATCACAGAAGAACTACAAGATCACCAGAGAACTACAAGATCACAGGAGAACTACAAGATCACAGGGACGCACACATCTGAGCCTTTTGGTTTCAGTGTTTTGCTCGAGGGGCACTCCAGGAATCGAACGTCCAACCCTCACGCTGCTTTGACAGCTCTGCGTCCTCCTCTGTGAATTCTTCTGTGTGAGCGCTCGGCGTGTATTTATAGCCGTGTTTGAGGTTAGCGTGTTACATAAGAAGCCTGTTTGGAAACGTGATCCTCCCACTTAAAGCTCAGGTTGATGTCTTTCTGTGTGCACGTTTGAGTGTGTGATCTGTAACCTCTCTCTCTGGGCCTTCACGGCCTCTCAGGAAAGGAAACCTGCCGACATGTTGAGTTTGAGGACTTTTTTTTTTTTAATCTCTTTGTCTCCGTGTTTCTGGACTCGCAGCGGCTCGATAACAATCCTCCAGATGGCCAATCCTCCGTGTCGGTGGGTGGCAGCGAGTGGTGTGAAAAAAAAAAAAAAGCTGACGACATTTATATCTAAGTAAAAAGCGGCTGTGTGGGTCACAGCACACGGGCTGAGTCGAAGAGCGAGTCCTCACGATCTGAAACATGTCTCCGTGTCAGATTTTATACAAATAGATGTGAGCTGACGAGCAAGTTAATGTTAAAATGACTCTTTTTTCAATGGAGTCTGGTGTGGGCAGGAGGGGGTTCAGTGTGTGTGTGTGTGTGTGTGTGTGTGTGTGTGTGTGTGTGTGTGTGTGTGTGTGTGTGTGTGTGTGTGTGTGTGTGTGTGTGTGTGTGTGTGTGTGGTAAATGGGTCAGTCTCTGAAGTGGGCGAGGGAGAGCAGACCTACAAAGAGAGAGAGAGAGAGACAGTATGAATAAATAAACGCTTACTAGCTGTACGATGTCATCTGCACCGTAATGATGTCATCAGTGATGTCATCAGTGTAAAGATAGTTCATCACGCTGTGTGAGTTGTAGTACAGAAGGTCTGTGGCCTCAGGACAAATTACACTACCCAAGTGCATCATGGGAAATGTAGTACAGGGTGTTTCCTGTCGATCTGAGCGGCTCTGATCAGGATTGTTCTACTTCTAAGTACGTTAGATGTCCTCTCCTCCTCTCTCAATCCTCGCTTGTGTTTGTTTTTACTCTCTGATGGTTGTCGCTTTGGATAAATGAATCGTAGACACTGACGGCGGTGCGTACAGCCTTGCCTTGTAGGAGTCTTGGCCTACGATTCACAGGTGTCATGAAGGTTTATTTTCGTCTGAAGCTCAATGAGACCCTCAACTTTAGATTCTGAGATAAACGGAAATAAATGTGGTAAAAAGTTATTATTTGACGTCACAGAGTTACCCAGTTTGAGCTGTGAAGAGACAAAAGAAACGTTTTACAAATTAGATTGCGTCCGTGTGTGCGTCCGTGCGTGCGTGCGTGCTTGCGTGCGTGTGTGCGTGCATTTGTTTTGGGCAGGGGGTGTGCAGATGGCTAAATATAACAAGTTCTCTCACAGGAAGAGGAAGTGATCCCTAAAAATAGACCAGAACAATTGTGTGTGTGTGTGTGTGTGTGTGTGTGTGTGTGTGTGTGTGTGTGTGTGTGTGTGTGTGTGTGTGTGTGTGTGTGTGTGTGTGTGTGTGTGTGTGTGTGTGTGTGTGTGTGTTTGTAATAAAATTGATACTGTGATTGGAGGAAGAAACAG